CCCTGACATGGAACTAGTGTCGGCTTATCTCTGTGTCTTTATTTTGGTCTATGTATGCTTGTCACAGGGAATTAAGTGTTTGTGGACTGTTTGAAAACGGCAGACCTTTAGTACAGTCAATATAATTATCATGGAATTAATGACATTTTAAATTAAGAAGAATTTTTGCTCATTTATCTGTTACATACCATGATTTGATTATAAATCCCAGCAGAGCTGATGGCCCTGGAGATGACAGATGACAGGACACAGTACATAGTGGAGGACCAGCTATTAATATTGTTTCATCCAGTCCTGGACTGGATTGTGAAAAGACATTGAGAAGGTATCTTCCAACTCAGACGTGGAATTTCTTTAGAGGGAGATTCCAGAAGAAAACCCAAGCACAAATCTTCCCATTAATATGGGAAGTTGGACTTGATGATCCTTATGGGTCCCTTCCAACTTGAGATATTCTGTAATTCTGTGAATATATTTGGAAATCTTTTAGCGATATTAAATTTGACGGTGTAAGTTCGTGTAGTGTATTTTACCAAAAGTGATCCTACATCTTTGTCAGTTGTCTTTTGGAGATCATTCTGCTAGCCTATTCAGAGGGGAAATGTCAGGTTGAGCTGGTTTTAAAGTAGCACATGAGTTTCTTCTAGTGTTGTCCAAGTGTCCATTGGAGACCCTGTATGGGTGAACCATACTGTTTTGGTCATTCCTGTTTGGGTTTTGTGTCTTATAAAGTGTATGGTCACAAGCCAGTTCATGCTGGTGGAACATCTGCGCTTTATTCTAGGTCTTTATTAGCATTGCAAGATAAATATCGGGCTTTTATTACTTAATAATAAGTTTTATCTTTAAAGATCATTTTCCAAAAGATTGGAACAGATTGTTACCTCACCTAGGAGTTATGAGCGTGGTTGTCAGGAACACTTGGAAGCAGGGTTAGATGAACGCTGTTTTAATTAGCAGGACTTTTACCATCAGCTTCTACGGGAAAATTAGTTAAGACCTTTCCCCAACGTCATAGTGCCTTTGAAAATTCTCAACTATATTATGAAGATTTTTGACTTTGGAATTAATCACTACAAGTTGGAAGAAGAGGCTGCTTTCTAATTACCCTAATTTAGGATTGTCCATACAATAATTAGTTTACCTGACATCAGGTGTTCTTCTGCAGAAGGGTTTTACACAGCTAGCTTTGTGTGGGCCCAATCTGAGACAATTTAAGAGAATCTGATTTTCAGAAAGTCCCTTGCTGAAAACCAGGCTGGTTTAAGAGAACTGTGGTTGGGCCCTTTGACTCATTAGCTGCTTTTGAAGTCGTTAGTGTAACTATTTAGTACAACCTGTCAGAATGTGTAAGGGCAGGAGGAGTTCATGCCCCCACCTTGGATGCAGCAGTAATATGTGATGGAACAGCAAGAAATCCAGCTGCCTTTAATTTTTTTGTGTGCTATTGGAAAAGGCACCAGTAAATGAGAAGATATGCTTAGGAGGGCATCTAAGGGGGTTAATTCACAGAATCACAGAATGGTGGGGGTTGGAAGGGACCTCAGGAGATCATCCAGTCCAATCCCCCTGCCAAAGCAGGTTCCCTATACCAGGTTGCACAGGAAAGTGTCCAGGTGGGTTTGGAACATCTCCAGAGAAGGAGACTCCACACCCTCTCTGGGCAGCCTGTCCCAGGGCTCCGGCACCCTCACAGGAAAGAAGCTTTTCCTCATGTTTAAGCAGAACCTCCTGTGTTCCAGCTTGTGCCCGTTGCCCCTTGTCCTCTCACTGGCCACCACTGAAAAGAGTTTGGTCTCCTGACACCCACCCTTTAGATATTTATAAACATTGATAAGGTTCCCTCTCAGCCTTCTCTTCTCCAGGCTAAACAGACCCAGTGCTCTCAGTCTTTCTTCATAAAAAAGATGTTCCAGCCCCATAATCATCTTAGTAGCCCTCAAATTCAAGAGTATGTTCCATGTAAGTGTTTGGCAGTAAACTAAATATCTCTGTAAGACTTCATGTGTGCAGCAAATATATTCCTTAAGAATATAAATTATCTTTCCAATAAACCCTTGGAGCATGGAAACGTTGTTTTGTGGACTCAGGAAAGTTGTGGTGGGTGCCGGTACTGAACTTGTATATCCTACCACAAGTTCGTTTACCCGGAGACCCGACTTCTCCCCCCCCACCCCCCCATAATTAATTAATTCCCTGTGGCATTTCACCCTCATCTCCCCAGCATCATCCCACATCTACTCTTCTGCCTTCCCATCACTGAGCCACACGGTGGAAAACAAGCGTCTTCTTCCTTTTTCCATGGAAGTGAGAATTTAGCGTTGCTGGTAGACATCTTCCTACCTGCTTTATTGCTCCGTGCCGGGATGCTTTCCAAGGCAGCCAGTCCTGACTTTCATCTACGCCCCGGGATTCCAGAGGAGGGATGAAGAAGCAAACCTTTGTGTGAGATTTGGCTGCTTTGCAGAGTCACTTGCCACAGGGGAATGGAAGTCATAACAAGGGAGTTCCCACAGATAGGTGGATGTTGTGAGGCTGTGCCAGGAAGTTTTGGTTTCCTCATAAAATTGTAAGATGAAATTCTGGTTCTCTTAAAATCCTTGGCAGCTTTAATACTTAGCCTGAGCACGGTTTGAATTTTGGTGGAGTTCAGGGTTTTCTGGGTTAACCTTTGTTGTTTTTTTTTTTTATTATGTTTATATTTAGGCTTTTCTCTGCTCTGGAGATGTTTAAATTCAGTGGTTGGGTCTTTTGTTTATAGAGGATTGGTGGGGGAGTCAAATACTCACCCAAGTTTGGAGCGTGGGGTTGGAGAAGGCATTTCAGCTTCATCTCATCTATTCCATGCGACAGATAGTCATCTGTGTGTGCCTGCCTGTATGTATAATAAAGAAAAAAACCCCCAGCATTTTGAGATCCATAATCAAGTTTGTACCTTTACAATGGATAAAATATTGTTTGTGCAAAAAGCCAAACGTAGACTTATTGAAATTACCTAAACCCGGAGTATTTTCAGAGTGAGTCCTCTGAACGGTGGTAAATTCGTTCCTAGATTTGAGTGAACAATAGATATTAAATCCACACTTAATAAGTGTGTGCCAAGCCATTCCTTGTGGGTATGTCAGATGATCTCCAGAGTAGATTTGTTCTCTATTCAAACATCTGCAATTAAAGCTCATTGAAATTAGATTCATAGGTCATTGTTGACATTATTTTTAGAAGCGTGCCTTTGCTTTCCTTTACAACTTGTGTTTAATGGGGAAAAAAAGCAAGAAAAACTAAAATGTCAGAAAACTCAAAACTTGTCACATTTCTGTAGTTTTTCTGACATGAAAATGGGTATTAAATCAGAGTTTCATTGTTAGGGATTTTAAATACTTTGTTTTAAATTTGACTTTTCAAAGTCTACATGGCTTAGTGTAAAATAACTAAAAAATTGAAACAAACCTTTGGGTAAAATGGTTTTTTTGAGGTTTTTTTTTTTTTGTTGGGTTTTTTGGTTGGTTTGGGTTTGGGGTTTTTTTGAGAAAAGATGAAACTGACCATTGTAGAAAATATTTTGTTATGTCAAACTTGCTGAAACTCATCCTTTTCACAAACACCTTAGATTTTGGTAATGAATTTTCTGACAGAGAAGGGGGTTTTTTGGCAGATTCCTTCTGTCACCATCCTCTGGTCATCAGCATGGGAGTCTGCAATCTTCCTGGGCAGGTTAGGTGTCAGTCCAGTGGAGACTATTTTAACCTATAGAAAATGAATCACCTACTACAGCCAAGCAATGCTAGCTGTGCCCTTTGGTAATAATATAATGGGAGAAATGACCAGTAGATCATTAAATAAAATTTAATTTAGGGTTTCAAAATACCAGAATATCTTAATGAGAGTCCCAGCGTTGCCTCCGGTGTTAATAAGGCTCCGTGTACCTTAGCAGTGCATTTCCCAACCATAATGTGTTTCAATTTATTTTGTTCTCATTTTATGGATATGCATTACTTGTTTTGGGGATGATTTTGAGGATAATGTGCCATATAAAGCAATTTACTCTCCAGTACTAACATATAATGTCAACCTGATTTCTTAAAACTTCTTTTTTTATATATATGGGGAATTTTAAAGGACAGTATAGGGTTTGATATGCTTCATCCACTTCTTGGTACACAGGATTTGCAGTATATTGCTTAGAGCCCCTTTGATAATACAGCACAGAGATTCTTACTGGCCTGTACAAGCTATTCCCCAAATGTGTTCACTGGTGCAGTTTACTGCAACCTTCTTGTTTTCTTTGGCATGATGCCTTAAGGAAGCTTTACTGTTGCACTGTTTGGTTTCAAGTTTTACTTCCTAAATGTAAATCAGATGTGATATATTTAAAAAGGAAAAAATTTGTTAAATTAATATGGCCAGGCATCTCAAATCTGAATTTGAAATGAAATATTACAAATAAAATTTTGCTTTGCTTTGTCTAAATCTTGTTGAATTGCGTGAGGTGGGAGGTATCATTTCCCAGTGTGTATCTGCAGCAATCAACGGTGTAACAGCAGTCTGATTGGTTATTTACTTTTTATTTTCTCCCCCATAGATCTTATGTCAACAGCATTCAAGCAGAGTGCAGCGTGGTTATTTTTAATGTGTCTTTCTTGGCTGCAGAGATCAAAACGTGAACAGTTTTATGGAGGGTGCATTTTTGCGTCCTGACAACTTCTTATTTGTTCTTGTCACTATTAAAACATTTAATTTCCCTCAGACAACTTAACCTTTTTCTTCCATTTGAAATCATGACAAGGACAAATATTTGTCAACATCCCTTCAACCTGATGTTTCTCTGTCCCTTCCTGCGATGAAGGAGGTGGCCAGAGATGAGAATATCTCTGTCTCTGCCGCAGCCCTGATGGTGATGAGCAGCTGCTGATGTATCACCACCAGCTTCGAGGGCCACCTCGAGAGCTTGCCTTGCCCACTCGAGCTTGACTTACCCACTCTTGCAAAACCTTGGGTGACCGATGGAGCATGGCAAAGAGCAGGCTGCAGGTCGGTTACGTACTGCATCTTCCTTTCTCCCAACATGACGCTGTATTGTACCAGACTCGTCAGCTGGAACGAGGTGTAACGTAGCGATGAAGTGAGGAAATTTTACAGTACCTCCAAACACAGTATGGTTGTGAAGTTCCACCACTTTGCTTTTGGATAAAATGATTAAAAATAGTGTTTTGGATGCAAGAATGAATGATAACTGAACAGCTGCAGTGACTTTTTCAGGATGTTTAGGACCTTAAGCAGAAGTACAGATTTGGGACTCTGTAATGCTTGTGAAATAGAATCGGTATTTTTTAATAGTATATTTAAGTTAAACTTCCTGGGTGAAGGGAACTAAATTTTCCCCCCTTTTTATATATGTGTCTATCACACTGCTCAGTAGATAGGGTCCTGATTCTTTGCTAGCAGACTGTGATAGGAACATGGGTGATTGCCCTGTGTCACCTTCAGACCTGTGTGATTATAATCCTACATCAGCATCGGTGTGACTGGGATTGCTTCGTGCTCTTAACTACTTGGATTGCCAGTTAAAAAAGCCCATTTCTATGTACAAGTGATCAAAGATCTCTGTCACACTCTACCTGGCACAAGTCTACTGATGGTGGATGTGACTGGTAGGTTCACAGCACGTTGGTGCTCTGTCTTTTCCTGAGTGTGTGCCCAGTGGGAAGATTTTTGAATGTCCTTTAGCTGAAGTCCTGTTCAGGAGGGAGAAGGTATTTTAAGGAAGCTGTGGCAAGTACAAATCCTTTTAATAAGACTCTTGTGGTCTAGGAAGGTGTTGCCTGACATCTGTATTTGACTTTGCTGATGGCTATTGAAATGCAGAGTTCAATTTTCTAGATCTTACTGCAGTTGAGTGTGCCTCGATTGCAGGTATGTCCCCACACAATGTCCCATTGCCTTTTCACGGGCAAATACTCCCTTAATTGTTTGCATCCTGCTCTTTACCACTGTCTTTCTCTTGTAAAATGAGATTTGTTTAGGAAGAATACAGCCAAATATTAGGTGGTGTGAAATGGCAGAAAGGGCATTTGTTTCTGGTGGTGGGGCTTGCAGGTGTAGGTAGCTATCTTGTATGGCTTTGGGAGGAACGTTCAGCAGATATGTGATGACCTACTGTAGGAGGAAAAAAGGTGCATGGGTGAAAATGGAGGAGGTTCTTGTGAATGTTGATGTCTCTTGCAAGTCTGGAGCTCAGCCTACGTTCCTGTACACAGAGGGAGAGATGCGCTGCCAAGAAATTAATGTCTGCTTTATTGGGATGTTGAAAGTCTTGGTGCACCATGTTCAGAGCACTTCTGTGGCTTCACTTACAGACCTAAGTTTGGAGGGGGAAAAAAAAAAGTTCCAGCTGGAAAGAAATGTAATTTTTATTTAATTAAAAAAAAAAAAAAAAAAAAAAAAAAAAAAAAAAAAGCCTTGGAGCGCCTTGGGTGTGTTGGGTAATTTGTGTACTCAAGAAATGAAGTTACATAAGTGAAGACACTCCTGTAACCCTTGCCTGTCAGGAAGACCGGCGCCACAGAAGATCCACTCATCTCAGAAGAGCTCCAATAGGTGCAGAAGGGGAGAAGCTTTATCCTTTGCGTTGTATTTATTCACAAAGATAAGCTGTCTTTGGCACGTCTGTTTGGCACCAGAGGAGTCCCAGTTTTTATCCTGTGGAGCTGCTTTTTCTTGTCGGTGTTGTGGGTAGAAGTTTCCTTTGCCAACGTGGATGGGGAGAGGTGGGTATTTTCCATAGTTCATCATAAAGCTTCACCACCACTGGTTGGAAGAGTCTGGGTGAGATACTTCTAGAAGCAGGGTGGGGACTCTGGAGCAAAGTCCTGGGCAGGAGCTCTGGTCTCTGGTGGCTTCCATCCCAGCCGTGTGTGATGAGAGAGAGGAAAGATGTGGAGGTGGCACGCAGCTGAACACAGTGTGTAGGACATCAATCTGGGTTTCCTGGTTAACTAAGAAAGACCCACGTGAATCCTGAACAGTGGACGATGATGTCCAGATCTACCTTCCACGCTTACCAGTGTAAGCCTGGGCAAAGCAAAACTGCATTTACTAGGCGTGCACGTAGTCAGTTAACTCAGTTTATGCACGGACTGTTTCCTTACATTGCTCATGGTACAAAAGTAAAATTTCAACTTTATTTCATGTCTTTATTTCAAATGTAATTTGATTTTTACTGTGAAAATATTTCATCAGTTAACTTCGGGATGTGCAGCAGAACGGCAAATATATTTAATACTTTGCTTAATTTAGAAAAATGACCTTTCAGAGAAAAACACCGTGCTTGTCAAAAATATACTGATGAATTAATTTCTTATGATGCCAGCGTGTTAGTTGACTTTTGAGAGCAACCTTATAGATAATGAGTTTTATTTTTATCTTAGATCTGTCTGATTGTAGTGCCTTGCACAAATCGAGTCACTTTACTGGCTTTTATGGTTATAAATACATATCAAGATTTTGAAGGGAAAAAAAAGGAAAAAAAACAAGAAAAAAAAACCCAAACAAAACAACTCAAATGTGTCTGACCAGTGTGGGTACCTGGAATTTTAAACAATATTGCAGTTATAAGATCTGTTATAAGAAAGTTATAAGTTTTATCCCCCACTCCAACCCTCCTCAAATCACCTTTGCAATACTATCTAGAAATACAGTACTTTAATTCTGATTTTAAATGGCCCTAATAAAAACTGTGTTGCATGTGAGAGCAAATGTTGTCTTGCATCAGAAAATACTAACTTTGTTCCCACAGACTTAAGTCAGTGGCTTTCCATTTGTAAAAATCTGCAAGGAATTTGAAAGCTACTTTAGTGCTTCTTGGAGGTTTCTGACTACAAATTGATTTATGTTTAGAACTTAATCTTGCTCGCTTTGACAAAGCTGGCAACTTCCGTGGGTTTATTTGTGCAGATAGAGTGAGAAAGACTCAGCTTTTGATATAAATACTTTTTAGCTTGCTGGTTTCTGAGAACTATTTTCTTACAGTTAATTATGCATCCTTAAAAATGTGTACATCCATACGCATATGTAGAGGGAGAGACAGCAGTTCAGTTTGCAAACTATCGAGCTTCGTTTTGCCTATCAGTGTTTTTAATTTTAGTTTTGAGTCAGAACAATCTCCAAAATATTAAGACAGACTCAGATCAAGAAAAATTACAAGTCAGGTCACATATATTGTCATATGTAGCGTCATATACTGTATATAGGTGGCTATTACCACAATATCAGTATATTCCAATATATTCCTTTAAAAGTTATTGCTGGGTTGGTTCAAAGTGGTCCTTTGAGGTTGGTTTGGGCAGGGACAGATGTCAAAACCGGAGGTTGGTGCTCTTGCAAGCCAGCAGTGGCTTTTGGGACTCAGGACAGGAGATGGCTCAGGGTGGACGTGTTTGGGAAGGGGTTTGTGGAAGCTGAAATATTGCGAAACAAAAATCCCTTTCTGTGCTTGAATTCTAATAATTAAGATGGTTTTAGATGGAATGGTGCCAACTTCAACGCAAACAACTTAAAAGTTTAAAAGTCCGTGTTGTTTAAAGGAAATATTGAAGGGTTGGTGGTCAGGTATGCTTGGGACTGGGACTGAAGTGTCTGTATCAGCAAAGGAGAGAATTTGAGTTCAGCGGTCTAAAAGGTTGCAATTTGAGTGACATGCAACAGCAAAGCTCAAGTGCATGCTAAAACCACACAGTTTTAGCTCCATCATTAAATTTTAGCAGTATTTTAATTTTTAGGTGTTAGAAATGTCATCAGAATGATTTGGGTTGAGTGTTGTGTTTGCTGAAAATATGGTTAGGTGTTGAAAACAGAAAAGTCCCTCTTGCTATTTTGATTGCTGTGTTTTTGCTGAAGTCAATGGGCAGTGGGTTACTGTCATGTTTGGGTGGTTACAGTCCGATCACTCCGAACTAGGCTGAGCTGAGCATTTTTGGTCATATCACAAGTATTCTCCAACTTTGCGCCGGCAAACTTACTGTAAATCTCCGTTGATCTCTTTTTGGGTGGTAGTTTCTTAGAATAGCTTTAGTTATTGTTGGAATAGTGGCAAGTTTAAAGGGTATTGCATACATGTAATGGTATTTCATCTCAACCAAAACAAAGGATGTCAGTTTCTAAAGCAACCAGAATTATTTTTAACTCTTTCCTCATTTCTTTAAAACAAACCCAGGGTGATTCATCAGCACCCTGACTTGAAGTGGCCCCTGCAAAGTGTTTCAGAGGGAGAATAACAAGTGGTTCAGTGGGCAATTTTACAAGAACTGGCTGTGGACCATAGTGTTTTGTTTTGTGGGTTTTTTTAACCTTTCACGCGGTGCAATTAGTAGCTGGGTGGTGTTCTGAAAATCACATTTGATCTCTGTGGAGAACGTTATCTGTTTGCCCTTACCAGGGTGTGTTCTTCTTAATAATGTGAGTGTTGAGATCCCCTGCTACACAGCTTCAATATTTCATGACAAAAGCCCAAGAGCTAATATCTCGTTGTGTTTAAAAGGGTTTCTCTGTAATGTTTTCAAACAGAATTGATCAATGAATTCATTTGCAGTGGGAAAACTACATCTCAAACAAATATATTTTAAATATCTACCCAAAAGCAGGGAGGAAATGAGAGCTCAGATAAATTGGTAAAACAGAACTGGTGAGAAGTTCAGCTCCGAAGACCTACATCTTGATATTAGAAATGAGTTATGAGGTTGCAGTTTGGTCTTTTTTTTTTTTTTTTCCCTGATGAAATTGAGAAAGATATACTTATTCAACTGGATGTACTTTAATTCCATTAAGAATATTTTCCACCTCCCTATAAATTAAACTGCTGTAATCTTTTAGACTCTTTGCATATGGCATCTTACACAGACTCCTCCGTATTTTTATAGCCCTTTGAACTTCTTCTGTTTCTGAACTAGTTGTATTATTATTGTGTATATTTTTTCCTGAAGCAGCCCAACATTTTATCTGCAGTTGCTGCCCCCTCCCACAAAGAATTAAAAAAAAATATATATTGGCAAAGCACCCAGGAATGAACCTTGTGCAGTATGTGGTTATTTTCAGAGAATCATCGAGACCTGCAGGTCAGTTCCTCAGTGCTGCACACCGACAGGTCATAAATTGAACGTATGAGTAGTTTAAACAGATACAGGGATTCGAGTTATTTGTTTCCTTCTGTATTTCAGTGCTTTGATTGTGTTTTTTTGCCTTGGCATGCTTGTTGTAACACAGCCTTCCAGGTAAAAACATTTTTGCCATAGTTGTCAGTTTAGGCTGCTCACGTACTTGTTGGGTTGTATTGCTCTTGTTGTCCTATGAGGAGATGACTCCTGAGATGCCATCTAATAGACTCTACTTAAATCATGGATCAAGCCAGTAACTTAAACTATTTGCGTGTTCAGAGCTATATTCTGGTAGTAGTTGGAAAATTAGGTCTGTTTTTCTGTATTTCAATCCCAATTTTACAAGGGTTTTCTAATGAGCGCCGCTGGGTTTGTCTCTGCTTCTGTGCTAAATTTGGAGTAACAATTTTCAAATCTTTTGTTTACCCCGTAGCATGTGAGGTCATGAAATTGCAGCCACCAAATCTTCAAAATTATCTACTAGGAATGTGAAAGTGTAAATTTTATCTGGCTGATAATTGGTAGTTAAGGTCAGATTCTGTTACTAAATCCTGGCTTGAGTTGTTAATGAATGCTTGTTGAGTATTCAATTTGAAAACAGCTTAATTCTGAAAGGTCTTAAAAATAAAACTGTCACCATTTAATGTAGTTGGAAGTAATTACTAAATGGGATAAAAACAAATGAGAGCTAAGATATTTAAAGACCCAAAAAATAAGCCTGACATGAATGGGGGGTGTTGTTGGCTTTTAGGGAGGGGTAGCTTCAGGATTTTGTTTTGGTTTGGTTTTATTGAAGTGTTATATGCTTCAAATTTATTCTAAAGTATGAAGCCAAAAGCCAAATACCTGACTACCTCTAAGAAATTAGTTAATCTTGCCTCGGGATTAACCTGAAGATATTTGGATTGTAATTACAAATTGTAACTACAGAAAGTGAGAAGCTGGACAGAAAGACTGCCAAAGGTACAAAAGCATCAGGTCATCTGCTGTAGGAGTATATGTTTATTTAAAATTTGTCACCAATGAAATATTGTCTAATGTTTATTTACAAGGGAAAGTCAGGGGAAATAATGTGTTTAGTATTTTCCTACTTGCTGTGATTTCTCCTAAGTGAAGTCCTCAAAGTATGAACTGATCTATCATCTTCTCAGGAAGGAGAAAGAAAAAGGAGAAGAAGAAGAAAATTTCAGTGCATCGTTTCTACAGTCTAGACACTGTTTATTTGCTTTGTATTGTACTTCAGAATTTTCTTCTTTTTTCCCGGTGCATCGTTTCTACAGTCTAGACACTGTTATTGTACTTCAGAATTTTCTTCTTTTTTCCCCCTGTATTATCTTTTATCCTCCTTTTGTTCTGTCTGCTTTCCTTCTCCCTCACTTGTTTCAACATGGAGCAAAACATTTGCCTCTATTTTTAAGAACCACAAAGAGAGAGAAGTTCTGTGTGAGCTCTGTGCACAACCCAAGGTCTTCCCCATCAGGAGCCTCTGCCCTACTGCGGTTCACACGGGGAATACCAGATATGTGCATTTGGTGGATGCCCACCTTGTCCTACCACTTAAATATCAGCACTGGGTAAATCTGG